TTCAAAAGACCACTGTCGCATACAGAAGACAACTATAAAAAAAGTCACTTCCTCTCGGAACTGTCAAAAAAATTCACTCTCTATGGAGCTGTCAAACTCTATGGCGTTTCCACCCCGTGATACTGTCAATGTCAGTCATCATTTAATCAATTGTCAAAAATCCCATGACTACCAACATTATAAGAAAAAAATGGTAGAATATTTTTCTTACTTCTGGCAATCTTCTATAAAAAAAATTGTACTTAGGCTTAAAAGGGCTTGCACCCAGAGCCGTGAAAAACTATATTATAGCCTGACCAGGAACATAAAAACCCTCGCCATGTTGCGGAAAATTAATGGTACTAATTTCTTTTAATGGCAACAGTAACTGAAAACTTCATTGACATGTCACCTTACATGTCAGTCTATTATGTGCCTTAATAAAACACAGCGTTCTGTTGAGAGAGCTGTCTATGATCTTTGCCTTATTTTAGTCTATGGTATAAGAAAACTTACCAATTGTCTCTGCTTTATCATCTAGTTTACCTTCTTCATACACCAGCTGGCACCACTTTCTATGGAAATTGGTGATCTGTCAACTTGACATTTCATAGCGTTTGTGATTTTTGCCGCCTACACAGCAAAAATTTTTATCTTCTTGTTTTTTATGTATAAAATAAGAATAAAACACAGTTAAAATGTGCAAATAGGAAATATAAGTGATGCAGAGTGTAAGGGTAAAGAGTGGTGACGGTGAAAGGTTGACTTCTGTCGGCCCGGATGAAGGAAAAGCTCGAAATCCGAGTCGTCTTTTTCAGATTCATCCTCATCATCCTCGGAAATGGAAATGTTTGCTTCACCACCTCCAAATAGGCGACGGAGGCCATGTAAGTGTTAACCCCACTCGTAAGACACTCGGTCGAAACTTTGACGACTCAGATGAATGTTATTTCCAACTTTGTTGCGCACCACTTACCTTCTACATCAAGCCTACTAGATGGTAATAGCTTGCAAAGTAGTATTCAGTTCCTCTAAAGAACGATTTCAGTTACTTCGTTATCGTAAAGTGAAGTTAAGATCAATCATAAGGAAGATAGAATATTACTTTTCCTTTTCCTGCTGACTGAGCGAATTATTAATGAGATAAATTGCAGCATTTTGGCTACCTTATAGCGGGTTAAAGGCAGCTAGTTGAACATTCTGTTTGAATGAAAAGTGGTTCACAATGTGTTAAAGTATTTGTCGAAGAGAAGTACTAAGGGTTCGGACAATATTTTCATTGAATAATGTTTTCGACAAAGGTTGTCAAATTGACTGACATGTTTGTCGTATAGTACAGTCAACTATGAAAATTAGCTGTGGTTTGTTTCAACCACCTATTTTAAAGTTTTTTGTCACTTTGTAAGTGTTGAATTTTATGGAATTGGGAAAGAAGTACCGAGTTTGAAGCGTTCATGAGCAGACATTGTAGTTGAATATGAAAGTTTAGAATTTGATTATTGATGAATAATAATAAAATCCTACTTGCTCGATCGATGGTTTCATTTAATTTATTTAAACCAGTTTACCTGTTTTATAATATTTTTTGTTACTTTATGAAAATATTAAATTAGCCCATAATCCTGAATCCTGATACATAAAGTTAGCCTATTAATTTAATACAGGTACGACTGTACCCAGTGTTGCACTATCAAATGCAATTGACGCGCCTCTATGCCAGGGTTTTTATGTTCCTGGTCAGGCTATAAAAAAAAATGTACTTAAAGGTCGGGCAGCGAGAGTTGAGACTTGAGGCTTGAGGCGATCGAAAAAAGCAAAGATGTGTTTCTGTGATGAAAAAAGCGAGACTAAAATCGCTTGTCTGTCAGACTACGCAAGACTGTAAGAAGTAATTTATTCTCTTTTGTTTTTCCAGAACTCAAAAGCAGTACTTCACTCAATATGGTAAACCTCTGCTCGTAGATTACTTAGAGCAAGAGCTAGTAAAAAAGGTACTTAATGTTTTTTGTTTTTTTTTTACTTTATGAGCTAGATTTTTACAAAAATTTATAATCTTGTAAAAATAATGTTATTTTTTTCAAATTCAACTTTCTACTTATTTGTTCCAGGACCGTATAGTTATTCAAAATGCTGAGTGGGTAGCTCTCGTGCCATATTGGGCAGCTTGGCCTTACGAAACTATGCTGCTCCCGAAGAATGGACAACCTCAGAGGCTAACAGACCTTAACGACGAACAAAAAAAGGGTTTGGCAGAAATTATAAAGGGTTTGAATACGAAATACGATAATCTGTTCAAATGCAGCTTCCCGTACTGTATGGGTTGGCATGGTAAGTTGTCATTTAAGTAAATAAATAAATTAGTAGGTAATTGAAAAAATGCAAAAAAAAAAATATCTAAAACATATTTTATAAATATCTTAATAATTATGCTTTACTTATTCATTCGATCAATAATTTGTCTTTTGGGAAAATTATGTTACCTAAAATAATTCAAATCTAGTTACCTACGTTGAACAAGGCTTAGGATCAGCACTGATTTAAATTATGTAAATTAATAAGATTCCTTCTTATTCCCCACTAAGAGGCTTTCGCAGGCAGCATTGAATTTATTACGAAAATGAATACCTATTTGAAATAGTTATTGCAACTATGAAATAGATTATTTGTCTAGAATTTCAGTCATTTACAATTAATTAAGTAGATGCGTTTTGGAGTAAAGATTCTCAAGTTTATATTTTCTGCTTGTATAGGTGCACCCACTGGTCCAGGCCACACACCAAGAGATTCGCCGCACTGGTTACTTCACGGCCTCTATCTTCCACCGCTGCTTCGCTCCGCTACTGTAAAAAAGTTCATGGTGGGGTACGAAATGTTAGCGCAGCCACAGCGTGACCTGACTCCAGAACAGGCTGCCCATACGCTGAGAGAGTGTGATACAGTACATTATAAACTTAAGAAGTGATTGAATAAGACGAAGTAAAGTTGTCGGTGTTTTTGTGAATTTTTTGTTATATTTTTTTAATTATAAATATTTTATTAAGCTGTTTCTTTTTTATTGTCCCTTCATATTGTTCTACATGCAAGTCATGCAACATACCTATCTGTTTTTATACCGTTGCTTAAATGATTATGGTTCTTAGAAATAAAGTTAAGATTATAGAACTTTATTAAAATAGGCCGGTCCATACTGAACTGAGGAAGCATGTAGACGGAACTGTGGCTTTACTAATAATATGTACGAATCGATTATTACGATTTCGCTTATTACGCTCGTCGTTTCAGCCAAATGACGTCCACTGCTGGACAAAGGCCTCCCCCAAGGTTTTCCACAACGCTCAGTTCTTTTTAATAAAACATATCAACCCAACCGATTACCTCCTCCTTTTTGAAGGCGGTTAAAAATAAACTCCCAAATATAATATTATTTTTTACGGTAGCAATAATTATTACTGTACGCAGGTTAGCCAACTTGATAAACTTAACTGTCAAAGCGGCAAAAGTAGTGATGACAAACTATCGATCTTATAGCTATCGATCTGTGCTAACGATTAAAATCAAGAGTAATCTGTGTTCCCAACCAACGAGTCACACAAGAGTTTTAGTAATCAGTTCGTATGCAGAGAATTAAAGAAAAAAAAATTACAATCTGTTGATCAAAGCAAAGATTCAAATTGCTGACTATCGCATTTATCAACTAATCAACTACTTATTTAAGTAAGAAAAAAACAACGGCAATGTAATAAAAGTATCTACTATTTTGAACAAGTTTGCAAGATGGATAATTTTTTGAATGTTGCGCGGGGTTCGACCATATCGATAAGACTGTTTTTTTATCAATCGATCACGTCACTAGAGTTATTATTCAAAATGGCCGAAGAAAATCCATGAAGCTTTCTTGTGACTAAAAATATTTTTACTCCATCAAAACAATAAAAAAAGCTCCAAAATGCAGGAAATTGATATAAATATTGAAGGGTACAACGTGAATGGAATATGTGTTGGCTGTTTGAATCACAATCGGAAAATGTCGTACATCGACGAAGTAAAGGATTGTTTCAAATTATTAGCTCAAATCGACGTAAGTGTGTTTTTTCATTACTTTATCTGGTGCTTAGTGAACGAATATGCATACAAAAACTAGTTTTAAAGTAACATAGCGTAGTTTTTGTCAGAAAATGAGAAATACCGAATGTAAACAAGAACAAAAAGTATTGGATGCGCCATTCTTTTTGTTCTGTGATTTTTTTATTTAGATTTTTTAACTTTTAATTTAGTTTTGATTTCATCATTATAAAAATGTTTAATGATTTCCAAGGTCCTTCCATTCCCTTCAAAATAGCAAGATAAAAAAATTTTTTTATTAGATTTTTTTTAGTCACTATGGCATTGTGCTATTTGAACATACATAATAGCCGGTGTCATAAGTAAATTATGATATCAACCATTAATTTACAAAACAATAAGATATGAGATTATCACCTACCAAAAATTATACAATAAAACTGCAAATCGTAATAACGTTTCACTTTACACGTAAAATGAACGTAACATTTGCAGGTCCCTGATTATTTATCTATCCAAGTCTGCTGGGAGTGCCTGGCAGCGGTCAGATCCGTGATGAGGTTCCGTCAGCAGATCCAGAGAGCTTATACGATACTTATCAAATACTCTGCTAAGGTGAGTACTGATTCGTACATAATTTTTGAATTGCCTGTGGCCCAGAACAGACGGTGAAACGCAACTGCAACGAAACTGCAACTGCTAGTTACTTTTGAGTTGAGAGACCACACATGACGCGAACAGTTTGAAACTTTCAATCATGTGTGGTCTCTCAACGGACGCTATGGCAGAAACTTAGATGCAACTCAAAAGTAACTAGCAGTTGCAGTTTCGTTGCAGTTGCGTTTCACCGTCTGTTCTGGGCCTCTGGTAAATTACAGAGTTACTTTCTATTTAGTCTGAAATTGATTTTTTTTAAGGATGTGCGATTAAGCTTGAAATGAAAAATAAAACTGATAGTAGTTGGGGTTGGGGAGTAAAAAAATTTCAATCACCTATCAGAAGATGTAGTGTAAGCAGGTTTCCACTTGGTGAACCGATGACTTGGTGATGGTCACGGAAAGCGCCTGAATGTAGGCAGCACAGGGCGGTCGTAGGTCGTAGAAATCTTTGGTAGAGACATATGTCCATCATTTTTTCTATTTTTGAATCACTAACAATCATTTATTCTTCTTCAGAACCCATTCCTGGACTCACCGTGGGACCTCACTCAATACGCTACAACCAACCTGACACGGACTCAAGTGGAAGTTGGATCGGATGTTCTAGATGTTCAGGATGTGAAAGAAATAGAAATAGAGGTCAAGAGTGAGCCGGAAGATAACGAAACGCTTCTGCCTAAACAGGGTGAGTATTAGAAAAAGTTGCGATTTGATTAGGCCATAAACAGAAGCTCAAAGTTGCACAGCGTGCTATGGAGAGGGCTATGCTCGGTGTTTCTTTACGAGATTGAATCAGAAATGAGGAGATCCGTAAACGAACTAAAGTCGCTGACATTATGCCGGATTAGCAAGCTGAAGTGGCAGTGGGCAGGGCACATAGTACGCAGAACTGACGGCCGTGGGGCAGCAAGGTACTGGAGTTGAGGCTACGTATCGGAAAGAGCAGCGTAGAACGTCCACCCACAAGGAAGACGGATGAGCTCATAAAGGTAGCAGGAAGGCGCTGGATGCAGGCCGCTACCAACCAGGCGATGTGGAAATCATTGGGGGAGGCCTATGTTCAGCAGTGGACGTCCTATGGCTGAAATGATGATGATGAACTAAGTTTTTAAAACCAGAATGAAGTGTCTTTTTAAAAAGTTGCGATTTGAATTATTGGGGAATGGTGTCAAATATTCTATTGTATAGATCGTTTCATCCACTCGGACGCGCCCCACCAATGTTTGGTCTCGGTCGCGCGGGGTGCGGGGAGTGGGATCCGAGCAATCCGTAAGGCATTATTGTAGTGTGCGTGTGCACTCATGGATCATTTAGCGTGTACCGATAACACTCAAACAGTAGCGGAAGAATGGTGGGGCGCGTCTTCGTGGATGACACGAATAAGACTACCTGCTTCAGACGCAGAGGTCTCGGGTTCGATTCCCAGTGGGGGTAATTTTTCTGTTCGGATTGGTTGGTGGTAGGGCTTGTTCTAAGTCCGTCTGGCTAACTACCACCATCTTACCTAAGTCTATTGCCATAACAACAATGTTAACAGCATTGTTGTGTTCCGGCAGTTAGAGGTAAGATAGCCAGTTCCTCTGTGGTTGAGGATTCCGGGTGAAGCTCGCTTCCACCTTCGGCCTGATCGTCACTTACTATCAGGTGAGATACAAGCCAAGAGCTTCCTCATTGTGGATAAAAAAAGGATCTATAATGGATGATTTTTGTTTTCAGAGGAATTAAAGATAGAAAATGAGTTTCCGGACATAGACGATCGTTTCTCCGACGACTTCCCGCCAGACCAAAACGCCACGTCTGAAGATGATATGCAGCTGTCCAAACTAAAAGAGAAAAAGGTGAAAAAAGAAAAGAAGGCTAAGAAGAGAAGAAAGAAGAATTCAGATGAGGTAAGCGTTTTGGGCTGGCCTCCCACTAGGTCATTGGTTCCCAAACTTATTTGAGACGCGCCCCCTTTCGACCATAAAAACAATTCCGCGCCCCCAAGTCAAGATTATATGATTTTATTGGTCGTATCGAGCAGTCTAGAATGCATTCTCTCAGCGGTCGCAGGTTTTTTATACTTAACTAGCTTTCCGCCCGCGGCTTCGCTCGCGTGGAATTTTGTCTGTCACAGAAAAACTAACCGGGATAAAAACTATCCTATGTTCTTTCCCGGGACTCAAACTATCTCTATGCCAAATTTCATCAAAATCGGTTGCGAGGTTAAGCGGGAAAGCGTAACAGACAGACAGACAGAGTTACTTTCGCATTTATAATATTAGTTGGGATTACACAGATGGCCCCCGCCCCCATTAAAGGTCTTTGCGACTCCCCTGGGGGGCGCGCCTCCCACTTTGGGAATCAATGCACAAGGTGGACGGACGATTTGGTGGAGGTCGCGGAAGGTGCCTGAATGCGGGCGGCGCAGGACCGGTCTTTGCGGAAAACCTTGGGGGAGGCCTTTGTCCAGCAGTGGACGTCTTTCGGCTGAAACGAACGAAGCATTTTAAGTTACCAACCAGGCGATGTGGATGTCATTGGGGAAGGCCTATGTACAGCAGTAAACGTCCTGACGCTGAAATGATGATGATGATGCGTTGTTTTAAAGCCCGGTCTGTGAGCACGTAGAATTTTGTCCAATGACCCCAAGTTACCCATCCTTATCGCTCGCGCGTAATTATGTTGCTGTCGCGCTCGCACACTCACTGCGGGCGCCCGTCGCACAGTCGCGACAGCAATATAATTACGCGCGAGCGATAAGGATGGGTAGCTTGGGGTCATTGGACAAAATTCCACGTGCTCGCAGACCAGACTATAGTAATAGTGTTTATTGCCGCTGGACTGTTGTGGTGAAACTACTTGCAACACAAGCATATTTAGCTTACCAAGGGGTTAATAAGACTAATAAAAATACAATTTATTTATTTTTTCTCGTTTCTTCTTGCGACGCGTATTGTGGACATCACATTCTTCTTTTACATGTCCCTACCCTGCCACTGCTTTGGAACAGTAATGGGCCAGTGCTGAGAAAAATCAGGACAAAAATCTAGTAGTTTTAAAAATCATCATCATCATTTCAGCCATAGGACGTCCACTGCTGAACATAGGCCTCCCCTAATGCTCTCCATGTTGATCGATTGGTAGCGGCCTGCGTCGAGCGCTTCCCTGCTACCTTTACGATGTCGTCGGTCCACCTTGTAGGTGGACGTCCCATGCTGCGTTTTCCGATACACGGCCTCCACTCCAGAACCTTGCTGCCCCATCGGCCGTCAGTTCTGCGTACTATGTGCCTGCGTATTTTTCTGCGTATTTTAAAAAATGGAAATGAATATTATTACTCTTGTTGGATCCTGTATAAAATATGTCTTTCTATAAATTGAACACAGAATCACTAAGATATTTATTCCACAGTCAAGCGACAAGCCAAAAACAGAGCAAAAATCCTACAAACTACTCAAGAACCTCCCCGAAGATTTAGTCACCATCTACACCATGACCGAAGAAGAAATGTGGGTCATGAGGAACCAGGATCTAAAGGATAAGGAATTCTTGAGGTACAAGCATAGATGTGAGGATTGTTTGCTTACGTTCAACTCGGAGAAGCTGATGAAGGAACATACGCTGGCTAAGCATAGACTGGTGAGTGTTTTTGGAGTTGTATAGGTGTAGCGCTTAACTCGATCAAGGCCTGAGGTACAGTCACACGATTTTGAAACGTCAAGTGGCAAAAATCAAAACTATAGATGAAACTACACTGAACTGTCCCACCAAACACATTGACAGAGGGGCACCACCATCGTTGAACTGTATAGTTTCCAATGTGGCAAAACTCTGAACCAGCGATCCAGTATTGACGGTGGCGCCCCCTGTCAATGTCACGCATGGGACGGTTCAGTGTAGTTTATCAGTATTGATAGTAGCGCCCTCCTGTAAATGTCATAATTATATGGTTGTCCAACGTGGCAAAAATCGGAACTATAATCCAGTATTGATAGTAGCGCCCTCCTAACAATGTCATAGCTGGGATGATTCAGTGTTGGACATCTACAGGGTGGAAACGTTAAGTGATCTCACTCGATTATTTTTTAACTACACACACCGGCAGATTTAGCGGAACGCAAAAAAAAAGTATGAAAATAAGGAAAATTACTACTGATCTATGAAATATTTATTATACAAAATAAAGAGATAATTAAAATAAAATAAAATAACATATATTTTTTAAATATTTAGTCGTTTTTATTTAATAAAAAATCATCGAAACGAAATTTCAATTTTTCAGTTTTGAACAAAAATTAGAAATTGTGGCCAGATTAAAAATTAGGGTAGCTTATCACTATCCAAATGAATGAATTAATGATGGGTATTTCCCCCTCTTGCTCTGATGATGGTTTCCATTCATCTGAGCATGCTGCAGTTAATGATATGAAGGGTATTTTGGGGCAATGTCTGCCATTCCTCTAGTAACGCGTTTCTCAACACCACCGGTGGTATTCTGAGTTTAACACATCTTTTAAGAAAGTCCAAGACATGCTCATTTTTTTAATTTAATAATAAATACTTAAAATAAACTCGTAAATTGTATTCTTATTTTAAATTATTAATGAAAAACATTGGTTTTAGGCTTTACTTGCTATAATATTGTCAAGAGATGAGTGTCATGACTGTGGTAGTACTAAATGTATGGAAGAAGGAAACATGGAATTTTTGGTTAGATCCAGTTTATTCTGTAACCTGTTATTGATACCATTGGATAGAGCTTGTGAAGCACTTTTAGAATCAGTAATCAGTTTTACGATATCATAATGTAGTTTTTAAAATAATGTGACTTTACCAAATGTATGGAAGCTGGAAACATTGAAGTTTCGGATAGATCCAGTTTATTCTGTAACCTATTATTAATACCGTTTGATAGAGCTCATGAAGCACTTTCAGAATCAATAACTAGTTTATTGATATCTTGTATAGTTTAGAAATAATCGAGTGAGATCACTATCGTTTTCACCCTGTATACATGATTGACGATCACTCAAGGCAACTATAGTTCAAGCGCTTAACTCAGTGCCTGAGTATTTTTGGGAGGACAAACGTCAGCGAGACTTCTTTGCTTCAGACTTGTATGTTCTGTCACGTCATAATATGTCAATGTCACCCCTCCCGTGCCGCTGCCATACCTCAGGCACTGACTGAGTTAAGCGACGCCTGCCTAGAGTCCGGTCGCCGAGCAGATACAATTTCGTACAATGACCCCTAGCTACCCATCCTTATCGCTCGCGCGAAATTATATTGCTGTCGCGACTGTGCGACGGGCGCCCGCAGTGAGTGTGCGAGCGCGACAGCAATATAATTACGCGCGAGCGATAAGGATGGGTAGCTTGGGGTCATTGTACGAAATTCTATCTGCTCGGCGACCGGACTTTAGATATTATTTATCAAACACCTTCTAAAACTACCCTACACTCTTCCAGAAAAGCGAAGATTGCCACAAATGCGACATCTGCAAATCCTACTTCCTTGGCAAGGATCATCTGCTCACGCATAGAGCTCAGCATCTCACAGCATATTGGTGCTCTGCTTGTGGTCACGCGACCTCAGTGAGGAGACGAGCGAGGCAACATGCGGCCACCCATCAAACAGTGACCAAGGAGAAGGAATATGAGTGCAGGAACTGTGGGAAGACTTTCCCGTAACTATTTATTTATTTAAGGCATCTAAAAGTACCAGGCTACTATGAGGCGTGAGGAGTTCTCATCTCAAACGACTGTATGTAGCTCTATGCTGGCTCCAACTCACCCTAGGCACGGTCCCTAGGTAAGACAAATAGGGAGTTCATGATTAATATGGCTTCTTCAAAAATCCAGAGGTACCAGGACTCTATACCTAGCGCAGAGGTCTCAAAAACCACTTTCGTCGTCCCCACTTCCATATTTATACCATCCTGAAGTACCAGGCTATCATAAAAATTAAGGAGTTCATGTCTACAATACAACTTCTTCAAGAAATCAGAGGTACCAGGAGTCTATACCCACCAAATAGGTCTTGAAAAGTCACTACCATCATGTCAAAAGTATCCTAAAGTACCAGGCTCTCATATCTCTCAAGGAGCTCTCTCCTTCTATCTAACGCCTCAATGGTACTCCCAGTAGCATCCAAAAGTACCAGGCTGATATATCTCTCAAGGAACTCTTCCTAACACCTGTAACAGCCTCAATGCTAGCTCCATCTCACAGCATACTGGTGCTCTGCTTGTGGTCACGCCACGTCTGTGAGGAGACGAGCGAGACAGCATGCGGCCACCCATCAAACAGTGACCAAGGAGAAGGAATATCAGTGCAGGAACTGTGGGAAAACTTTCCCGTAAGTTTTCAAATACCAGGATAGGGTTTTCATAGAGTAGTGCATCTTAAAGTACCAGGCGACTATGAAGAATAAGGAGCTCTCAACCAAAACGCCCGTAAGGTAGCCTCACCTTGCGCTAGGTAAGCATCTTAAAGGACCAGGCTACCATGATAAGTAAGGAATTCAAGGTTAAAACACAGCTTCAAGAGTCCAGAGGTACCAGGAGTCCAATACAGAGGTCTTGAAAATTCACTAACCTCTACCCCATCATTTCAGCCACAGGACGTCCACTGCTGAACATAGGCCTCCCCCAATGATTTTCATGTTGACCGGTTGGCAGCGGCCTGCGTCCAGCGCCTTCCTGCTACCTTTATGATCTCATCTAAAACTTTTTGTAAAAAAAAGCAATTTAAACTACCTGCACCATGACAAGGAATTCAGTAACTACTATCTGCGAAGACCATACAGTTTTTTCAAGTATGGAGCCGGAAGGTTACCATATGATGACCGGTGAAACCCTGGTTTAATTCCCTTGACAAGTACTCTGGTATTAAATGATATCCAGACTCTGATCTGATGATGAAGCTAGAAGGCATAATGAAAGCTTGTTTTAAAAAGGTATGTTTTTGTATTTTTTTAATGCAATAGTTTTTATTTCAGATCAAGATCAAAACTCTCCTACCATCGAACGAAGAATCACAAAGAGAAACTGCAGTGCGACTGCTGTGGCAAAGTGTTTATTAGCAAGATGATGCTGCGACACCATCTCAAGTAAGTCTACCTAATATTACCATAGATAAAGTCCGGTCCGGTAATTATATAATTGCTGTCGCGACTGTGCGACAGGTGGCGCTAGTACGCAACGTAAACATTGGCTCCGTATAATAAATTAGAAATAATAAGTCTAAGGCAATAAAACAACGAAAAAATGTAGCAAAAAGACAGTACGTTATTGTGACTATGTGTGAAAGTGTTTGCAAAAATAATTATAAACAAACAGTGACGTTATTGTGCTAAAAAAACAGTGAACTTAATACAAGCTGACATCAGCTGTTAATGACTTGTGAATATAAATTAATCAACAAAAACTGTTACAGTGCTATTTCCATCACAAATATAGCTAAAAGAACTTATTATTTGTAAATATTGACTGTGTAATCTTTAAAGTGACGGTATTAATAACTTTTGTGAGAAACAATCTACCCGATACCAGAATCTTGTGTATCTCGCACAACTGTTGGACTGCTAGCACTTTTTCGCCGCTACTAACTATGAATGCGCTGGCGTAGCGGTTGAGTATAGTGACTCGGCGCGCCGTGCAAAATCTGTGGAACCAAGTTCGAATCCGGCCTATTCTCGTTTTGGATTTTTTCAAACAAANTTATGTCGATACAACAGATACATAGGTAAGCAATTATCGGCAAAATAAACAATTCCATAACTTATGTAAGTAATAACCGTTGAATACGTAGATAAGTTAATGTAGTTATAAATATCATGCGTCACATCCAACAAACCGACCTTATATATGTATAATAAAGATATTGTTGATTGACTGACAAATCCACGCTGAGCCTACCAATTTGGCGTAGATTATAGTATCATCCTCTGATATTTTGAGCTTTACGAATGCTTTGTGCATTTACACGCGAGTTTTGTGACGATAAGCCATTGAATGAGAAATAATAAAGATAAAAGATTATAAACATTGCACTGAAAAAACTGAAAATATTTTCTTTGGTATAGTCAGTGTCAAATAATTCGTGACACAAAAGTGGCTAAAATGTTGACAACACTACCTTATTCCTATAATTGAGGCGTCTAGTTTAAAATCCCGCTAAAACGATTTTGATAAGATTTCGAGAAATTGAAAAAAACCGCTTATCCATATAGCTTTGGCCTTAGGCAAAAAAATATATGATACGAATTATTATTGTCATCTGGAAATACTAACAGTAATTCCTATTCACCTTTAAATTAAATATAATTTGAATTATAATGAAAACTATTTTCATTTTGGCGTACTTTGTTACAAACATTCCGTTTTAATGGGATTTGAAACGGACATGTTGTATTTTAGCGGGATTTGATAAGAACAAATTGTAATGCATGAATGGCGTTCTACAGTAAAGTCTAATATTAAATAAACCAAAAAATGATAAAATAAATAATTGTCCGTATTCATTTGTCCATTCTATAATGTTCAAAGCGATTGCACTTATTGGTTAGGTTATTAGATTAATAAAGTTTTATCCGGTTATTAAAAAAAAAAAACAATTAAATTATAGCATGTAAATAAGAAACTTTTAGAGTAGGCGCACACCGTTGATTTTTAGTTGGCCGATAGTTGTGCCCGATTTTAATTTGTATGAAGAATCGGCCAAATTGAATCGGCGTAGTGTGCGCACTCCCATACATGCCCATACTGATCAACTGCCCGACTAAACTATCGGCCGACGAAAAATCAACTCTTATAAATTATTTTCTCAATCTCGTCTTTGCCTTTTTATAACATAATATTTATTCCTGGACATCTGGACATCAGGTGATCCATCTGCTCGTTTGCCTCCTGTCACATAAAAAAAAAACATCCCACAATATTTATTTATTTACTTCACTGTCTGACTGTTCAGGGATATAAACGTACACACATACATACTACCTACTCTCGAAACACATTACCCTCCTGCACTCGGGTAAAAAGTAACATACCTTTATAATTAAATTCGTCTAAAGGCATTGAGCTAGTGAAGTTTCTATAATCCCACTAGTGATCACCAACACTTAATAGTAACAATAACCAACGACAGCTAAATGGTTAATTTTGCATAACACCATCAAAGCTGCATCAAAAGTAGTTTTTTAACAAATTTCTCTTTCCGTTTCTGGCGCTCCTTGGTGCGTTTCCAGGCTATTTCATTACGTGGTTTTTTTCTTGCGTCTTTAGGGTTACATTTTTCCACGAACTGAGATAAATCTTTCATTATTTTGGATCAAAAACAATAAAAAACCGCAGCAACCTTAAGCACGTTATGAAAAAATCTCCATACTGATTTCGCAGTCACGTGACCACAATACCGTGCTGCCATTGGTCAATCAAGTTTTAGAGGGTTTTGAAAGAAACGGACGGCGTTTTAGCGGAGTTTGTAACACAAACCAAATTTTAAGTGCTAGTTTAGTAGTCTTTTAGCGAATTTTGATCGAAAATGATTGAACAGTATGATGAGAAAATTGCAGTAACGTCATTTATTTTTATAAACAGAAATTCGTTGCAGGAGCGTTTTAGCGGGTTTTGAAACTAGACGACTCAATTATGACTTTTACTTTCCAAAATGTTTACCGATTGACTGTTAATGATTTATGTAATGCCAATCCAAAAACGTACAAACTTACACAAGAAGAGGTATTTCATGTTGAACAGTAAATATTTTGCAACACAGTTATACATAACGAACCTCTACTATTGTTCTTAGTCAGGCGAATATAGAGACCGAATAATTTTGCATATTCAAATGTATTCTGCGTAGGCCTATACAAACAATGGTGCTATTGACAAAAATTAAGAAACGTAAATTCGTTTGTAACTAATTCAATTGAATATTAATGATTTTTACAGTTTTTTGTGCTATGATTTTTTCGAATCAAAACATGGTGTGAGTCATGGAGCATAGGCTTCATATTTAGTTTGTTTATCAACATTAGAAGCGAAAACAAGTACCTAAATACATATTAATAGTGCCTAGGTAATCAAATAACTATTAGGTAATCTGTGACTGTTGTTAATTGATAAACACGTGGTTACCTCGTGCTTAGGCATTAGACACACCGTCGTGTAATTGTTTAGTAAATCAATTTTCTATTTCAATTGTTTACCGCTATTTAGAATAGCTTTTTATATCAATAACTGGCTTCTCTTCGAAATATTTTTTTAGGGCTGATTTTTCAACGTCGGATAACTTTTAACTGAATAATAAGTTTGGCAAATTGACAGTTTTAGGCTGAGTTGAACCACCTAACTTTGACCGTAACTATAACGATAACGGATGTTTTTTGTATGGAGTTTGACATACATATTTTTGACTTTTGTCAAAGTTAAAGTAAGATGGTGCAACCCAGCCTAAGTTTTGCCTGATTCAAATTCAGCCAGTCTAATCCAAGTAACTTAGTAAGTTACTTTGATCGTAAATCTTTTCTCTAATAAAAGTCCTTTGACTCCTCAGTAATAGCCAAAATCTATCGAACTGTAGGTAGGTATAATCAATTGTAACTAACTATCAATAAGATTTATTTCTATTCATTCAACATAATAATAGCATAATAATTATACAGAAAGCGAAACCATTGTAAACATTATGATAACATTGTCACGTGGAACGCTCGTGGTACGTCACCCGTCACACCGTTGTGTAACGGTAACAATAACTTGATAAACTGAGTGCAATATTAATGTAGTTATTTCGTGTGGTATCGATAAAGCACTGATAAGCTCAATTTTAAGATTAAATGTCAAGGCTGGGTTTATTGATCAAGTGTTTGTAAATAATTTGGCAATAAGTTAAATTTATAAAACAAAACATTTCTGGTATTTTTGTGCCTCTACAATTGTCAAAGTATTTTCTAAGTACGTAAATAGTATATTAACGTTAAATTAACGAATACTGACATTATCAAAAGAAACACAGCTATATTTAATGTGGTTACATATACTGAAACAACGCTAGTGAATTTCAGAGAATATCGGATTCAGATATTAAAAACACTAAAAGAAACATTTTTTAATATTTCTAGAGCAAGAATTTGTTCGGTAATCGTTACACATTTGCATTCCAGTGTAAAAGAGGACGTCGTGATAGACTTTAAAATGATTTATTATGCCATCCATAATAACAATTTGTTGTCAGTGAACTTTGTTCTAAATAGTAGTAGTCTATATTTATTGTGAGCATGCTTGTTTACTTGATTACATACATTATGTAGAGGTATGCATAGCTTCAGTATTATCAGTTCAAGGCTGGTCGTAGACCTCTAACCTCATGTAAGGTCAACATAGTGCTTATAATACAAGCTTTTTCTTAGATTCATGAAATAAATAACAGAATTTTATAAAATCTGAATTGGTCTCGTGCTCTGTGCACACATTGTTTTTAAAAAGATTAATACCTATCTGTATACGATCGCACATCCTTTTTAACTTTAGGAAGTGAGCGATTTAGACAGAGAATTCGTGTACGGATACTAAATTGTTTTAAGGTCAATGTTTGCTAGTTTATTTGTCCGAAATAGGCTGTCGTTAAATTGAATTGATCGAAAGAATTTGACATTGCTATGATTGCTATGCTTGGGATCTGAGAAAGATTCATGCAAACATTTTTACTATTAAAATTCGTTACCTTGTGCCTACTTACTAATTTTCTATCTATGAGCACCTTAAATTGTTAGAACAATGAACTCACAACTACTAAACAATCTTTATTTGGTCTTTGTTTTCATTGGCTAACATTTTAAAATGACTTTTTATTTTTTTATTGATCGTTAATTAATTTCTTTATTTTTTAAGTTCTTCCATTTGAACTAAAATAGAAAGACACAGGTTTTAACGCGACGTTTATGAAAGAGTTACATAATGTACTCACGGCTGCTCCCATTTGGCCTTAAAATATGCATTCAAGCAACAAAGGCTTCTGAAGTTCACGTCATCGTATATTAAGCGACGTGACGTCATATTACTAGCTAGTCTAACAAAACGTAGGCATTGAAATGATTTTAGCATCATCTTAGCTTCCGCGTGTGTAGATAAAGAATAAATTGCAAGAGCCTTGAGGTTTTAGGAATGTCTACCAAACGAGTTTGCATGTAGAGACGAGAATTGCTTGACTCCTCGACACGAAACGATCCCGATTTTGTTGTTTCATTGAATATTGATTAGGCTTAGTTAGATTTCAGTCCAATAATAATAAATATGTGTGCTAGTTATTTAACTTAGTGTCTATTATTTAAATTGGTAGGCAGTTACTACCAATCAGTATTGTGTCGGGGCTGATGTTTACAAATGCTTATCAATAAGGAGAAAGCCCCGTGATTCATGAGAGTCATCAAATAGTCAGCAGCGCATGATAAGAGTGCAGTAATCTGTAATTTAATAACAATATCAGTGATAGTATTAGTTTTATATTGAGGGGAGAAAACAAGTAGCTATGTTTTTTTATCCTTAACAAGGAAGCTCTTGCTCTGCATCTTACCTGAGGTTATAAGTTTTAAAACATTGATTTTCATCCATCAAATATTGTCTTTCAGGTACATGATACCAGGCAGTGGTAGTCCACTGTTGGGCGTAAGCTTTCTCCAAGAATTGATAAACTGGACGATCTTCTGCTCTTTCATTCAGCCAGTTATGTTTTTTCGTCAGTTCATAGAGCACGAGAAGTTCTATAGTACTTACCAGGTAAGTATTGCCGTCTTGTGGCGTAATATGAAAGTCTTATCCAATTTTTACAATAAAAACAATGTCCTTTCAAGGAAACGAGTGCAATAATCTGAACTACCAATAAATAAATAAAGTGCTACTAATTACGCGTCTTTACAGCTCCATATCAAAATATTGCCGTGCTTTTTGACCTATTATGTGCGTCAGAGATAAGAATCGTATTTAAAAATAGCGACTGACAGTGAGAGTGGTTTCGCCGAATAAGAATTAGCAAACAATCACTTTCGACTTTGATAATAATACAAATTTTAATACGATGACGCTGTACACAACGACTTAAATTAGTTCAAGAGTCGATAATTTGATAATGAGGTATTTCACCTCTACTAAAGTAGGTATAGGTGCAGGGGTGGCCAACTTGATTAGACATAAGATCTACTGTTTACTAACGAAACCCTGGGCGATCTATCACTTACATAGGTACTTACTGAAATCTTAAATGGAACATTATAGTTTAGTACATAATTTATTATACATATTTAAATTTCAAACAAAAATACAATTATGAATAACTCAAAGACAGAAAATATAACTTGCGCTCAATGTCGCAAAGTTATAAAACACAAGCAATTTCTTAAATGTTCTCGTTGTAATTTGACATATGATTTGAAGTGCACCAATAAAGAAAAATTGTACTATTTGATGGATAATGAACGAAAATCTAAGTGGACTTGCGACAAATGCAATCGTAAAAAATACTGCACGAAAAAGAACAATAGCACTTCCAATACCCCTGTACACTCTAAATCTACAGATAAATGTAAAACTCAGAATGAAATAAGCAATTTATCAGCAGAAAATAATACTAATCATTCTCCTATTTTGATACCAACATCGGCTGATAAAATTAACTTATCGACTAATCAAGAAGTCGATAATGTTACATATCGTAAGAAGCAGGCAATATTAGTGAATGTTCCTACATCTAACTCATTCGACTCCTTACAAACTGAGGTAAGCGAATATGAAAATGAAGACATCTCTAGTAGTACACCCAAGAAACTAAACAGAAGCTGCCCAGAAATTATTGTTAAAAGTCACTTAGATTACGAAGCTTTAAAAGCTAGGCTTGATAACCTACAACAAAGGTTTGAATCTGCTGAACAGCAAATTGAGTTTCTCTTGTCAGAAAACTTTAGTTTAAAAAAGACAGTTGAAGAATATAAATCCAAAATATGTAACTTATCGTCAATATGCAAGAACACTGACCAACCATCAGCATCCAAAAGTAGACTACGCTCAGTGAAAAAATCAACAATTAAAAATAGACGAACTATTGATGATTCAATCATGGCTGAATGCGTACACCCATCGTCTCCATCTCCAGTAACATGCTCAGAAAAGCCAACGCAATCGAAACTTTGCATTATAAGCTCTAACCAAAATAACAACATACTGATGCCACTATAAGTTACCACATAGAGGCGTTCTGGACTTGTTGGCGACAATAAATGACAAAATAAAGANCTAAACTATACAAGATATTGAAAAACTAGTTACTGATTCTGAAAGTGCTTCACGAGCTCTTTCAAATGGTACCAATAATAGGGTACAGATTATGGAAGCTGGTAACATTGAATTTTTGGATTTTGTAACTTATTATTTTTTTCCACCGTGTATAATCCGGCTGTAATTCCAGGTCACCTAGATACATTCCATAGCAGCTGTAATAGACATTTAGGTGCATACATTTACCAATTTTGGTGACAAATAGGCATTTCGTAGTAGTTTTTGTATAACGCCTAAACAAAAACAAAGGGTAATATTTTGGTGTTAGGTACATAGATTTCGAATATAAAAAATATATAATTTAACTAATTAAGACATGACAAAAAAACTGAGATATGTCTCGTTTCTGTCGGGCCTGGGTCACAGATGACCGTTCTTCTTTATTCATTTTTCCTTCAGTCAAAATTAACTAGTTATTGAAAATAGTCCCTAAAGCTATAAAATACCAGTTATTCTGTTAGAGTAGACCAGCCAGCTATGCAGTTGCATTCTGCGTAGGCGCCGCGAAGGCCGCACGGAGGCCGGTCCATTCATGCACGCGGGTGCATTGCATTCGTTATATCAAACACTTATATTATGTTCCGCTTGACATGCAGCTTGCTATTTTNACTGTGTGATCATGATTGGTGAAAGGGACTTCAAGACATCGCAAAACTACTATAGACTAAATGAAAAAATTAGAAAAGGTCTTACATCATTGTCTCACACAAACATTATACTATGTTTACCAACGTTTAAATGTGGAAGATTGGCAGATCTCTTTAACCGAAGAATTGAGATGTTTAATAGAATTCTATACCAGAATATACAGAAGTATGAATATTGTGCTGAAATATTGGACTCAAACCTCCATCTTACATACGACTACCAGATGTTTGGCGGGCCACAGGGATCTCTTAACAACTTTGGAATGAAGACCATACTTAGTAATCTTAAATACCAAATAGATGAAATGCAGTTAAATTTTAATGAAAATGACCAACATTGTGAAAATAATCTCTTTATAAGTAATGATAGTTTTTTTCGAGTCTAATTGTAACAATCAACTATTTAGAATTATGCACCAAAACATAGCAAGTGTTTTATCCAAATTAGAAGTATTGGAAATAGTATTAGCTGATCTCACTTATTCTAATAACGCGCCTGACGTTTTGTGTTTCAGCGAAACATTCTTAAAATCGGGCCATGAAAACAGTGTTAAACTGACTGGTTATGAAATGGCTGCTATTTTTAGCAGACAAAATAAAAGGGGAGGGGTTTGCATACTTGTTAAAACAGGACTTGCCTACAAACAAAATATTACTGCTACCAAATATGCCATAGCGAAAGTTTTTGAATGTTGTGCTATTGAGATACCCAATAATAATCTTATAATAGTTTGTCTCTACAGAACACCAGTATCAGATGTTGTAGTTTTTCTTAATACTCTTGACAACATGCTCTATGAATTAAGTAAAAATAAAAAAAGAAACATTGTTGTCTTAGGTGATTTTAACATCAATACTCTCAGAAAAGACAAAATAACAAGCACTCTGCAAGATCTGTCTAAAAATTATAATTTGAAATTACATATCAATGAACCGACTCGAAGATTATCTTGCATTGATCATATAATGAGTAATATCGATGGTGCTTTGGCATCCGTATTGCGCTTAGGACTATCAGATCATGAGACGGCCCAAATGCTCTGTTTTTCAGTTGAAAATAAAAAACATACTCCACAGGCTACGTATACATACAAAAGAGACTATAGCGTAGAGAATATTGAAATATTTCAAAAATGTGTAAATGCATTATCTTTTGATGAAGTTTTACAGGAAACCAATATTGATACCGCTTTTAATAAATTCCATGATTCGATCAGGTTGTTCTATGACTTGTGTTTTCCCAAAATTAAAGTTAAAACTTATAGTAATAGCCGTAGAAATAAATGGATTACCGCAGGGTTAAGAACAAGCTGTAATACCAAACGCACGCTAAGAATGAGATACTATAAGTCGAAAAATATTAAACATAAACATGACTACCTAAAGTACTCAAAGTTACTTAAAAGATGTATTTCTCTGGCGCAAAAAAACAGAAACCGTAGATTTCTTGGCAACAGCAAAAATAAATCAAGGGCTTCATGGCAAATAATAAAAGATATTGACAATAACAATAGTTACTTTGATATTGACCACATTCTTCTTAATAAGGAGGAAGTCCATGACCCGCTACTTATAGCTGAGGCATTTAATACACATTTCATTGAGGCATCAATCCCAAGTCCTAATATAAAACCTAGTTTAACCCTTAAAACTATGGGGGCTAGTCTAGGTCATTCTATGTTTCTTTTGCCGATGACAGAGGATGAAGTGAGATTACAAATACTGTCTTTGAATAATACGAATTCTGAAGGCCCAGACGAGCTGTGTACAAATGTAATTAAAAAATGTGTTAACGAATTAACACCTATTCTAACGTACTTGATTAATTTGTCCTTTGAAAAAGGCGAATTCCCACAGCGGTTAAAGTTATCTGTTATAATACCAATACATAAAAAAGGCTCCAAAAACGATTTGACGAATTACAGGCCAATTACTCTTGTTTCAATTATATCTAAAATCTTTGAAAAGTGCATGTTTACAAGACTTATGCAATACTGTATGCTATTCAACATAATTAATAAAGATCAATATGGTTTCCAAAAGGGAAAATCTACTACTCTTGCTATGTTTGTCTTGTTTCAAGAGGTTCTGACTAATGTAGATCTTAAAAAATTAACTACTGTTCTTTTTCTAGACATGACAAAAGCATTTGACCTAGTTAATCACAACATTTTACTCTACAAGTTGGAAGCAATTGGCGTAAGAGGAGTACCACTCCAGTGGTTTAGGTCGTACTTACAGGATAGAGAGCAGTCTGTAATTATAACAAGTACTGGTGAAGACAATATAAGAAAATCACATAGCTCCAGGTACATCTGCAATAGATTTGGCGTACCACAAGGAAGTGTTCTTGGGCCACTTCTATTTTTAATTTATATTAATGACATTATAAATGTAACAAAATATAGAACTATATTATTTGCTGACGATGTATCTATTATTATTACAAATGACTTAAAAGATGGTTTGACGAAGCATGAGGCTGAAATTAACAAAACACTGTGTGACATTATTGAATGGCTTGACATAAACAATTTGAGAATAAATTTGACCAAAACAAATTATGTACAATTTAATAATTTTATGCAATATAATTTAAATATTTCATATCGAGGGACTTGCATTGAACAAGCTGACATAGTAAATTTTTTGGGAATAAGTGTAGACGCAAAAATTAATTGGAAATCACAAGTAGACAAAGTTTGTAACAAGGTGAATCGTTTTGTGTATGTTCTAAAGAGACTCCGCCATGTAACAGACCGGAACACAATCCTTGCAGCCTATCATGCCTATGTCGCCTCTATCTTACGCTACGGACTGCTTCTCTGGGGAAATAGTGTTGAAGTGAATAAGGCATTTGTTGCCCAAAAAAAGTGCATACGCGCTATATATGGCGTACCACCCTACCAGACATGTAAACCTATCTTTAAGGAACTTAAGCTGTTGACCTTGCCAGGCCTTTACATTTTTGAAATCTGTAATTTTGTTAAAACAAATGCTCGTTTATTTTATAGGGCTGGTGATATATATCCTCGGAATAAAAGGAACCCTGATAGACTTGTTTTAAAATCTGTTCCTAGAACCGCACTGTATGTAAAAAGTTGCTTAAATATGTGTATAAAGATATATAACAAGATACCTGCAAATATAAAAGAATTGCCATTGAAATTATTTAAAAAGAAGTTGTATGCGTGGCTTCTAGATAACAATTTTTATGACATTAAAGAAATAATTGTGTAAAAATAAATGTTTAAATTAACTATATTGGACTGNTCGTATTAATTAAAATAACGAAGAAGAACGAATAAAGATTTCCCTTATTTTCAATGACAGAGTCGCCGAAGTCTGCACAACCTTTGTTTTCATCTCAAATAACAAACTTTTAGACAACCTGTAAAACTGCCCCCCTAGACAAAACGCACTTTTTGATCGAATCGAAAATCGAATCCGTCAAAACTCCATACAAAAAAGGGGCTTTTCGACCACTTTTCGGTTGGTTTGCGATTGTAATTTGCACTTTGTCTAGACCCACTGGTCTTATTTTTTATTTTTTTTTATTTTTTTAACTAGATGACTTGTTCTGTCAATCGTTGTATAGAAAAAGATGAGATTTTTACGTTTTTCTGGGAAAATTTAATCCTTTATAAAAATATTTTCCGAATTAAGCGCTTAGGAACACATCTAGCGATATAGGTACTTTATTGTATCGATTTGATATCACAATTAATTTAAAATTATTCGTAGTCAGACAAATCTATGAGCTGTATTTACTTACCAATTAGGTTTTAAACTATGTCCAGCTGAAATGCTTTTATTTCCTAACTAGCTTTCCGCCTGCGGCTTCGCCCGCGTGGAATTTTGTCTGTCACAGAAAAACTTTATCGCGCGCGTCCCTGTTTCAAATACCGGGATAAATACTATCCTATGTCCTTTCCCGGGACTCAAACTATCTTTATGTCAAATTTCATCAAAATCGGTCCAGTGGTTTAGGCGTCAAAGAGAGACAGACAGACAGACAGAGTTACTTTCGCATTTATAATATTAGTATAGATTACTTTCTCTGTCCATAACCAATCACAATTTTTCACTGCTATGAAAATTTCCTAGAAGCATTTGTTATTTAAAAATTAATAAGCTCATTAAAAGTCCATCCAATATCATTGGCAGTAATTACATTGCGGGCTATTGGACCAAATAGTCCATTATTGGCTGTCACGGCTGACAGCTCAACCACCGTAGCTTTTTGATAGCTACAATCTATCTAATAATGTAAAAGGTA